TTTTTTTTTTTTAATGGAAATTAGAAAGCCTAATTATTTCACATTTTTATGTCCCTACACAATTATTTAGGTGAACAATCTATGATCCACATTAACCTAGAAAAATAAGTATTTAAAAAAGAAACCAAAAAGAAAAACAAAACAAAACAGATTCTGAATGGATCGCTTCTATTGCCACCATCGGTATCAAAATATTCCCATTACGATACGTCACTATAACTGTTAGCATGAGGATCTGGAGAAAGAAAGTCTAATTTTTGTTTCGGCTAAACCATGTCGGCTTGAAGGGCCGATCTGAAGACACAGACCGAATTAGTAGGTTGATCAAAATACTTCGGCTCCAATTAAACCCAGCAAAAGCAACTGTACAAAGTAAACTCAAACACATTACGATACCTCCTGGCATCCAGAAACAATTTCATGAATTACGAGGGCAAACGAAAATAACAAGATCTAATAATAATAATAATAATAATAATTTGTCATAACTAATAAGCTTAAATTAAAATATAACCGCAACAAACTAAAGAGAAGCATATTTGTATGGACAGTGGTGACCCAGACCAGGTCATATCTTATAATCCAAGGTGTGGTAGTGTAAAGTGGAAACATTATTTCTAATTGATTATTTTCTATTATATGCTCTCAGCAAAGCACAGTGCTAACACCTCTGTGTCATGTTGCTGTCAGGAAGTATGAAAGACCCAGGCCGGGGTAAGAGAGGCCTGATGAATAATGCTACAGCTGCTGGATCAGCTTCCTACCGTTGGATATAAGTTTCGCCGACAGCTGCCGAACCAGCTCCGGAATCTTGTCCCACTGGCTCTCCGAGCGGCACCGCTCTATCTCTGACTCCAGTCGTGAGCCAGACTTCCTCGCCGTCATGTTTCGTGACCAAGGGGGGACTGGACTCGACCAGAACCACCACAACAGGCTCCCCTCTCTCTCCCCCCGGTTAAAATAACCGTCAAGCTCACACCTAAAACACAACAAGCGCACTTCCGGGGTAGGGAAATGTGAGGGTAAAGCAGTGACATCTAGCGGTGAAAATGTATATATATAAATATATATTTTCAAAGGCCTGAAACAACACTTTAAAAAGTTGGTAAATCCTTTCTACCTCAGTTAAATAACATGCTGCTGTCATTTTGAACATTTTGCTGTTATTTTTTTGAAAAATATCTAATACTGTAAAAATGTCCATAGCTGTATGTATAGCTGTTATTTATTCTCCGGGTGCACAGTATTTATATTGTTAAAACGCTTTACAGTACAGTATTTTATTTCATTTTTTTTAACTCTTCATTATTATGTTATTCTTATACTTTTTTCTAAGGTTCACATTTGTTTCACCATTTTTTTCTATGACCTTTTTGCTGCTGTAAACACCAGAATTTCCCCACTGTGGGGCAATAAAGAGATTTTCTATTCTATTCTATTCTATTCTATTCTATTCTATTCTATTCTATTCTATTAATCGTATTAATCATGACTGATCGCTTATTGAAATAATTATCAACTCATTTAGTAATCGATTAATCATTAACTGAAGTATAGAGATTCTAAAACATGCCTTTAGCTGATAGAAAAACCCACTTATAACAATAACAGCTGCAGCCCTATATATATATATATATATATATATATACCGGTATATATATATATATATATCTTTATCAAATATGCGACCAAAAATAGATGTGAAAATCAAATCAAACTCTTCTTTCATTATGTTTTTTAAACATAATGAAAGAAGTCTATCAATTTTGTTTACAGTTACACTTATTTAGGTTCATTTAATATGTATTTAAATTCATATTTCATCAAATGTTTTGAATATTTGTTTAATCATAGGAAACCATGAATTCTTTTTCCAGTCGCTCCATATCACTGTTTTATTTTGAAAGACCGGAAGAAGCTCCAACGTCTGTAGTATTTGGTTAGAGGGACTGAAACTGATGGCAGACTTGTCCCTTTTTTGACTAATGTTAACGATTTACTGGGATAAAACATGGAATCAGAGGGGGTGAGTTTATATATATATATATATATATAAAAAAACATACTTTAAAACGTCTTTAAAATAATGAGTTAATTCTGTTGATTGTTGGTTGCACTTCCTTAGCCGTGAAGCTAACGGCTAACAAAACTCTATATACACTTGATTATGATTTCTCGCTGTGGCTCTTATAATTATTTTTTTTATTTAGCAGCGTTCAGGAGGATCTAAAGAGTTTGAGACCGTGGAGATTGCGGAATGCAGTGCGGGGAAGGTGAAGGTTCCCCGGAGGATCATTCACTTCGCCAACGGGGACACCATGGAGGAGTACAGCACGGACGAAGAGGAGGAAGAAGAGAAACATGTGAAACAGGAGGTCGTTGCTGTGGATTCGGTAGGATCGAAGGACCTCAAATGTTCTTTATTTTTTATTTAAAGTGATCATGACACAGACCTTCTTATTTTATATATATATATATATATATATATATATATATATATATATATATATATATATATNACCTGGGCTGCCCTGTCCAGAGGCGTAGCCAAAACATTTTTATAAGGGTGGCCAGGCAATAGAGGGGTGGATGAAAGTAGATAAGCACCAAAACATCACGGTCAATCTACTGTTCCAACTGGAAAATTAAGGAGCAAAACATCCATATTTTTTAAATAAAGACAAACTATACTTTCCCACAGCCTTTTCTAACAAATAGACACAAAATGGATACAATTCTTTTAGGTCTGAGTTCTGGGACGAACATCTTTTCCATTGTCATTGCTTACCTCATTTTATCAGTAATCATTCTGCTTAAAATTGATATTTAAAAGTACTAATATCTACATAAATTGATTATTTAATAAGTTTTTATTAAAACAGTTATTTATCTTTGATTTCACTGAAGACACCTAAGTGAGACAGAGACATTTTCTCTTTAGCCCATAAAACAAAATCTGTTTCTGAAAAGCAGGGATTCTGTACTCATCATCTTTAATGTTGGTATATTGATGTGCATAATTAACCAGTGTTTTTGTTGTAAAGTAATTGTTAATATTGTTGTCAACATCTAAATTAGAGGGAAAGAAATCGTAGGGGTGGCCACAGGGGTTGCCAATGATTGACTAAGGGTGACCCCTGGCCCCCCATCTAGCTCCGTCCCTGCCTGTCACTAGCATAGCGTGGGCTGGCGCAAATCATGGCAGCGGCACCTAGCTACGGCATGTGGGGATGCTCCCACTACAGATGCCTCAGCTCGGTGCCGCTGCCATGATTTGCTCTTACTGTCTCTTCACTAGCGATCACTAAATCAGATTATAAACAGGCTCCAAAGGTGAAAAGATTAGCTGGACACTTTATGCTCTGCTTTTAGTTTTTTTTTTTTTATACTGCTATGCATCCTGTAAGGAGAGCATGCTGTCAGTACTTTAGCTTCCTCTAAGAAGTCTATCAATTTTCAAACAATTGCATTCAAGCAATTGCATTTTCTATATAGTTTCTATATCAATATACTATGAAGCTGGTCAGCAGGAGAAAACATGTCTACCTACTCTTTACATCTCTTTTAATCTCAAAGTGGAACTCCAAACTTTGATTTTGTGATCAAAGTTTCTGGATCAAAGTTTATGATCGCTTAATAGAGGAGGGGAATGTCGGCCTAGTGGTAAGAGCAGTGCATTGAGCTCTGAGAAGTTTGCAAGTACCCGGTTCAAACTCCACTGCCTCCCCTCTGGGTCCCTGAGCAAGACCCTTAACTCCACACTGCGCCCTGGGTGCCACACAATGCTCTCCAAGGGGATGGGTTAAATGCAGAGGTAAATTTCTCCAATGTGAGATCAATAAAGTTCAATTATTGTTAATTATTTTTAACTCTTCATTAGTTCCAAATTAAAAGAAAAAATTTATTTTATCTAAAATCGAAAAAGTAATTTAGGACCACTCAGTAACTAAGTAACAATTCACAGTCTTCCATACTATCATAAGCCCTTAACCTGACAATAATTTACTTATTAATAAAATAAGGAATAAGTTTTTTATAGGCAGGTTGCACCTGTTTGGATGTTTTCTAGATTTTCAGAATGTGTTTCTCTTTATAAAAGAATTATGCTGATGTTAAAGACCTATTTTGTTTGTGCCCTTGTATATTTGTTCCAGTCCAAACTGACCTGGGGTCCTTATTTCTGGTTCCATATGTGGAGGATGGCAACCTCCACTATCTCAGGTAGGGTCCTATTTAATCACTATGGCTCACAATTGTTTCTTTGTAAAATGAGTGATAATTGATTAGGTTCTCTGTCTCAGTGTGTGACTATATGGGGGAGAAACTAGCCTCTTTGTTCGGGATCACCACTCCTAAGTACCAGTATGCTATTGATGAGTACTACCGCATAAAGAAAGAGGTACGGTCCCTCGAATGCACATGTCAGCTACATCAGAGGAACATCACATCTTCGAAATGTAACACATTTTTCTGTTTTTTTTTTTTTCCTGCAGGAGGAGGAGGAAGAAGAGGAGAACCGTCTCGCTGATGAGGCTGAGCGCTCGTTCGCAGCACAGCGGAGAGGCGAGAATGAAAATCCTGCCGCAGTGAAGGAGCAGCCAGAAGGGTCCGGAGCCTCCTTTGTAAATGTCAGCTTTGAGCTCGAACCCGAGTCTTCTCTCAGGAATCCTGATCCAAACAGAGTCCCATCACCTCTCCCTTCCTGAAAAAAAAAAAAAAAAAAAAAAGTTAATGAAACCAGAACTCCCTCAGCTGCACACACTAATTTTTTTTTCTAAATTTTTTATGTTTATAACAGATTTATTTATTCATAATAGCTGAAGTGGCTGAATAAGCGGCACCAGTGAATGTAACACAAGAGTGCTACATGTAATCTAGCTCTGGGCTGAGACCGAAGTAAAATGTTGGTTGTTGCTTTGTGCATCGACCTCAGTTCTTTCCCATCAGTTATAAAAAGATGAAGCATCTTTTTCTTGTTTCCCAGAAACGGTTGGTTTGAATCCTACTTAATAAAACAAAGGGAGGTAAAAAAACAGCATCAGGCATAATTTCTGCCGAAGTATCCACAGATGAACATTTCCTTCTATTATACTTTACAATACACATAAAGCCTTAAAAGATGTTCCCAACCAGCTGGTTGCTTTGATTTAACAGATGTGCAGGTGAATAGCAGTTTTAGTTTTGTATTCAACCTTTCTAGCGTGCAAAAAGAACCCGGACTGCTGAATGTAAAGGGAATTTAAGGCAAACAAAAATTTCAAAGAGATGTTTGAGAAATCTGTAGGTACAAACGCATCTTTAACTGTGAATTGAACGTCCAATGAACACCAATTTATTTGTTTCGTGTGAGTGTTCTAGAAGGGTATTAAAGGGTCACAACTAATCGAAGTGCTTTCATTTTGTATTATACTGTATTTTTATTTAAATCCATTGAGAATTTATTAGTATTTGATTTCACTCCGAAGATATTGATGTGTTACTTGTTTTTTTTTTTTTACTTTAATGAGCCAATGAGAGTGCTTTGGGTGTCTTAAGCTTATTATTGTTATCCATTGATATCACTACATTGACTGGCTTCAGATCCTCAGGAGGGTTAACTCGACTTACCGTATGTGTTGTCAGAAACAATAATGAAATGATCTTCAGCTTTATGTAAAGATAAAATCCTTTTAATAAACAACTTGATGTGTTTTTGTGTGAAGAGATTGAAACTATGCAATAGATTTGCTTATTTTGACGAGAATCTGTTGCCTGAATTTGTATTTATGTTTTCAGTTTTAATACATTTCTAGTAACAAACAAGGGTGTTTTGTTTTATTCATGTTGACATGATTTAGTAGGATAAAATAATTGTGACAATCTAGTGTTTCGTATCATTTATTCAGACCGTTCTTTCATTG